AAATGCAGGATGAAAAGTGATTTCCGCCCAGCTGTTTTGATGTGTTGTGAGGTGACAGAGGCAAGCGCGTGACCCTTTACTTGTATTCTAAATCCTTTCTGGAAAGTTCTACTATATGCCAGATTAGCCTATATGTTCTAGGGACTTCCAGACTACACGCCACTCCCCTTTAATATATTGTAACTAACTCTGTTGTGTTCTCTACTGAATTTTGACAGAAACAATGAAGTACAATTGAAACACAATGCATCACACTGCCATGTTTAACAATGCATCACACTGCCATGTAACACAATCCTTTAATGATACACCCCATCTTGTGAAAAAAATATTTTCTCCAACCTAAACACAAAACTTAAATGCACCATTACACCGAAATGCTCGTCTGCATAAACAGATAAAAACAGTGATGAAAATAAACTAAACGAGGCTCATTCTTGTCATCAAAACTACATCGCTAAAAGACAATGTATAGCAGACACACTCTATTTTGAGAAAACAAAACAAAACAACCTAAACGTTGAACAATAGACATCTAAACTATTAGAAAGCGAGTTGAATGACGAAGAGGCTCAGCTGCTGCTACATTCTAAAGCCATAGAAAACACAATGACAGACCGCCCCTATTAAAAAGCCATAGGACCTGGTGTAGTGGTGGTTAGTGGTTAGAGCGTCCGCCTGAAGAGCGAAAGGTCGCGGGTTCGATCCCCGGCCGCGTCATACCAAAAGACGTTAAAATATGGTACTTGTTGGTCCCTACCTGGCGCTCGGCATTAATGGGTATAACAAGGACTGGTCAGCTCGGAGTCAGTATAATATGTGTCTGAGTGGGGTATTCATGCTTAACTGCGGCATGGTATCTCAGTGACCTAGCACTATTAAACCAGCTTAAGTCTGGGCTAGTACAAGCAGCCACACATACACACGCATGCACGTCGTCATCACTCATTCTCAGGGACCATTGCCGTCGCCGACTTTTGGCTGTCGGTGAATTTCACATGTCATATTGCAGCGTGCAGAATTCTAAATAATACTGTTTACAATCTGTATTTGGTTCTATGAGGGCATCTTTGCTATGTCGGTAGTGCGTATTTTTGCATTTTAGCTTGCTGCAAAATTTTATCCAACGGAAGTTTTGTTATATTTAGTGGCATGAAAGAACCAAAATGCATACGGGTTAATTTGCCCATGTTAGCATGTCGATGGTTCAAGCAAAACACAAAACTCACGTTTAGATTATGTCGGTAGAGTCAGTGTAATTTACGTTACTTTGTGTTTGTTTACAGCTTTTCTTGTGGTAAATCATCGAACAGACCCACACGATAACTTTTCTTGATTGGCCTGTTCATCTATTCTTGATATTAAAAACATATAGTTTCGTTAACTACCAGGATAAGGGTTATTATCATTGAATGTTGAAATAAACTTCTAATTGATGAGATGTAAGTTAACAAAAGTATGAAGAAGTTTCAGATAGTATCAATATGTTTGAATTTTATTTTGTTTATTCGAATTTTTTTAATTAATTCAATTTTGTGCATTCACGATTACAATGGTAGGCACATCATTATCGTAACGTACTTCATTAGCCCCGAGATATTCAGGCGTTTAAAGAATGGTTGAATTAATATGGTAAAACGTTGTCATTCCATTGATGAAACGTATGTAACAATGTCAAATGGATTTCATTTCAGATACGATGGCTAAAACTGCTGCCCAAAAGTAATATGATAGTAAAGAGGGAGAAAAAAAACAAAACTTGGAGTAGCTTACATTTGTAACTCAAAATGGAGATATATACTGAGTCAAAAGAAACTTCACATTCTTTCTTCAGGGCACTATAAAAGAACACGAGATGGTAAGATGGTTAAATTGTTATTATTTCATTGCTGAGATCTGTGTGATGTACTCTCGATACACTGACAGTGCCATAACCAGTTCCATTAGGCTACACCAAAACATGGGTATACAGAATGTCAAGTCACAAGAATAAAAATGCGAAATTTCTCAGTTCAATATCGTGTATGGCCGCCCCGCGCATTCACCACTGACAAACACCGTCTCCTCATCGACTGCCTGATGCTTGTGAACACGTGGTTGGGGATTCTGCGCCATTGCTTTTGCAAGGCAGCGCCAAGTTCCTGCAAAGTCTGAGGTTGGTTCCTAAGACCACGAAGCCTTCTCCCAAGTGCATCCCAAACGTGCGCTATTGGATTAAGGTCAGGGGGACCTCGATGGCCAGTCCATGACGTTGATTCCAGCGTTTTGAAGGAAATTTCGTGTCAAAAAATCGCGGAATGCGGCCGAGCATTATCATGCTGGAACTGTAGACCTGGGCCATGAGCCGCCATGAAAGGAACGAGTTCAGGGGGTGAGCACCTGGTCGCGGTAAGCAGCAGGTGTGAGGTTTCCACGGATGACCAGAAGACGGAAACGGTTGTTCCCACAGAAAGCACCCCACACCATGCAACTTCCGCCCCCGAATCTGTCGACTTCCTCCTGTACACAACATTGGGCATACCGTTCACGACGTCGTTTCAGACTCTATGCCTGCCGTCCGCGAATCCGAGGGTAAACTTGGATTCAACGCTAAAGACGACTCGATTCCAGTCTCTCTGGGTCCATCGGAGGTGACGTTGGGCCCACAGCAGACGTTGACGTTGATGAAACGGCGTCAATATTGGCCCACGATATGGACGTCGAGAATGGAGATTGGCAGCCCGCAACCGATTTCGAATGGTCTGTGAGGACAGTCGACCTCCTAAACATCTCAGCCCTGGTTCGTGTAGCCGGCAGAAATCTGTCACGTAGGTGACGTAGGACGATTTGACGGTCTTCTGTTCGTGACGTCACACGTGGACGACCCATTGCTCTTGCGACGTCAATAAAACTGATCTTCCCGCTTGCCGTTAATTACTCTATTTATCTATATATTAGGATTTGAAGCAAATTAATTCTCTTCCATAGTTCGATGGATTTATGTACAATTTTTGATCTATGAACTCCTGAGCATATCACGCAATTCAATTGGAACAAAAGATCGTAAGCATATGGGGATGCTGTGAGAGACATTTAAGTGAATTATGCTGGATTCAAAACACAATAACACAACCCCAGCTGTGATTCTACAGTTGTGTGGAAAATACAATTAAGCAAAACAGTTTCTGCACATGACTGTTGTGTTAATGGTGTTTACTCAGAATGCTCCTGCATGGAACTTTCAGGCTGAGGTTTCAGAGAAAAGATATTGTCTATAATATTAACGAAATAGAGAAAATATAACAAAAATATTCAGTTGACAACCGTGAGGGTGGAATTCCAAGTTTCAAACCTTAATGAACAAAAATGTTTTATTTTTTTTAAAATGTTTTCTGGGATATTTTTGGTAGCGAAGAATGAAAACACAATTTCTTAAAAACTACTCCGGAAAACGTCCATGATCCCTAAGTTGTTTGTTCAGTGTAATAGCAATTGATATAATAATCTGCAAATGGGCCTTAACAGCCAATAACGGTTATTGATCTAATTATAATGATTATCGATGAAGCACAAACTATTTGTGTGTTTAACAATAAGGTTTACATGCCAACTCTCAACAACTCAACATGGATTGTCGTAAACGTTACTAGCGGGATGTGGGATATTTCTTAAACAAACATCGGTTCTAATGAGGTTTATTAACAAGCTGTTCTAAATCTGCTTGTGGCTACAAAGTTAGCACATGTACTTGATTAGATTTATGGAACGTGACTGAGTGAGTGGGTGAGTATGGTTTCGCGCCGCTTTTAGCAATATTCCAGCAACATCACGGCGGGGGACACCAGAAATGGGCTTCACACATTGTACCCATGTGGGGAATCGAACCTGAGTCTTCGGCGTGACGAGCGAATGCTTTAACCACTAGGCTACACCACCGCCCCTATCTGCCTGTGGACTGGCCAATATTATAAAAGAAGGTGGGTCAGACAACTATGACGATCTCTTGAGGAAAGTGTTGAAAAAGAAATACACTTTTACAGTAAGGGACATGAAAAATGGACATTTTATATCAAAATATTGCTGTTTATTGAGGGTAATGAAAATAGTGAGTGAGTGAGTGAGTGTAGATTTACGCCGCACGCAATATTCCAGCTATATGGCGGCGGTCTGTAAATAATCGAGTCTGGACCAGACAATCCAGTGATCAACAGCATGAGCATCGATTTGCGCAATTGGGATACGATGACATGTGTCAACCAAGCCAGCCGAGCCTGACCACCCGATCCCGTTAGTCGCCTCGTACGACAAGCATGTGTTACTGAAGATTCATTCTAACCCGGACCTTTACGGGTCGTAATGAAAATAATATACAAAGACGAGCATTGTTCAATTTATTCTGTGTGTAGTTTACCTCGGGCTGGCGACAGGACCATAGGCGATAAGAGAGCGTGTGTTTAGTGGGTGGAAGGACCACTGGCATACATTATTGAATATTAGGTTCGAATCACTGTTAGGGACAATACTTTTTAAAAATAAAAATGTAGACTTTTGCAGTTGTATACTGTTTTTATACGATTTAATTAACCTATATTTCAAATCTGAAATTCATTTCTTCACCGATCTGGTTCAAATTTTAAATATAGGTTAATCATAACATATAAAAACAATATACGATTGCAAAAGATTTTTATTTTTAAAATTTATTGTCCAAACAGTGCTTCGAACCCCTTGTGCTTGTTCCCATGTGGGAAATCGAACGCGTGACATTCAGAAATACCGTTTACCAAGAAGCACGACATAACTCTCAGTTGAGGTTTGGGCACCAGCAAAGTTCTGTATTCGATTTCAGAGTAGGAGTTACTTAGATGCAAATACACATTAATAGTTATTATCATTGACATTGACATCGATTATAGACATCAATACAGCTTGAGAAACTACATAATTGTTTTACCGTCACGAATCCGGAAAATGTTGTTCGACGTGACACAACCAGGATGCGTGGAAGCCAGTCCACGACTTCACCAATAATGATTCAACCTCATTGAGACATCATCGTATCCAGTAAGTTCTCCACTCTCGCCGCCTGGCCACTCCGGCCCGACATCTTGATTCAGATCACCGAATGCGCACCCGGTGTTGTACCACCAACCTGACTTCCGGTCCGAGGCACATCCGGATGGGTTGTCCTTGTCATGCGTATAGAACTCCATACCATTGAGCATCGTTTCGGATCCACCACCGCCAAACCCGTCCTCAGTGTTGCCGGACCCCCACCACCTGCTGGAACTAAACTCACGATATTCCAACGCATAGCCTTCCTCTTCCGGTTTCAGCCGGAAGTCCTTATATCGGGCATTCGTTCCATGCCGTGGTTTCACGGACAGGGTATATTCACCCTGGTCCGTTATAGCCTTGATCTTCTCGTTTCCCAACCAGAAGCACGTTGTGCTGACATCGCCGAAACCATCCTTGTATTCCTGCCAGGTCTTGAAGAAGAAGTTATCGCTGCAGTCTTTCCTCCGTTGGATGGTGATCCCGCTGTAGTAACAGTACACTTGGAATGGCGAGGGGTAGTTCGCTACTTGCAATGTGTAAACGCCGTGTATGCTCCATCCCCTAGGGCAATCTGGAAACATAGTACCACTTAAATACGATAATATACATCTGAGTGAGTGAGTTAAGTTTTACACCGTTTTTAGCAATATTCCAACAATAGCACGACAGAAATAGACTTCTCAAATTGTACCCATGTGAGGAATCGAACCTAGGTCTTCGGAGTGACGAGTGAAAACTTCAACCATTAGGTTAGTCCACCGCCTATTTACTGGTGAAAACATGGACCCGTCTTAATGATGATTATAGTTATCTTGAAAACATTTGTACAGACATGATGGTCATTAGTGTCATTCTGGGAGACAATAGTGAGTGAGTGAGTGAGTGAGTTTAGTTTTACGCTGCACTCAGCAATATTCCAGCTATATGGCGGCGGTCTGTAAATAATCGAGTCTGGACCAGACAATCCTGTGATCAACAGCATGAGCATCGATCTGCGCAATTGGGAACCGATGACATGTGTCAACCAAGTCAGTGAGCCTGACTACCCGATCCCGTTAGTCGCCTCTTACGACAAGGATGGCTTACTGAAGGCACATTCTAACCCGGACCTTCACGGGTTCTGGGAGACAATAATCTAGCCTAAACTGAGACCAAAATATGTTTCGGTTTATTTGTTGTTACCACCGCACGCCGCTATATTTCAGCTGAATAAAGGCGGTCTGTATATAGTCCAGTGTTGACAAGACAATCAAGGGATCGACATCAAGAGCATCGACGACATGGAAGTCCCCGGGCCTGGCCATGTGATCTCGTAGGTGGCCTTTACGACAAGCATGGGTTGCTGAAGATCTATTGTAACCCGGATATTAGTTTGTTGAGTAACATATCGCATGTATTATTAAGGTTTTAACTGAAGCGGAGACAACAGAAATTGGTTTCTTGGTGCCCATGTATAAATTTGAACCCGGTCTTCGGTGTGATAAGCAAACGCTTTAACCACAAGGCTATTCTACCGCCCCGGTGTGATAAGCGAATAGTCAGTAGTGCGATAAATACACATACATCTATGAAGGATATTTGGTCATTACAAAATATGTATTTTGGTAAAATAATTTGTTTCGATCAAAATATTGAGTCGGCAGTAAAATGAGAAGGGTCCGTCGGGCGATGAGAAACACAAAAATAAAACTGCTGCCCATATAAAGGTATCCGACGACCCTGTCGCTGTAATGTACCTGAGATGAAAGTAGTGCAGTTCATGTTGGTGGCGCCAGCGGGGCAGTCACATCCGCCGCCCAGGTCGGTCACACACGGCGTAGTGCCTGAGCCTGGCGAGGGCGTAGTGGTAGTGGTACTCGTCGTGCTGCATGGGCTCAGTGCAAGGTCTGGGGATGGGCTGCCCCAACAAGACACCAGGTTCTGAAACCATGTGTCGGTAATAATAGATATGATTTATGAGCAGTCATAGGTGGATCCAGAGGATTTTGTCCAGAAAATTTATTACAATTGAGATTCTAGTGAAAAAGGGTGGAAATGAATTATGTGCACACACACACGCACGAACACACGCACACACGCACGCACGCACACACACACACCACACACCCCGTTTCTGAGCTGTGCTTCCCCCCTTTCCCAAAAAGCTGTATCCGCCCCTGAGTGAGCGTTTTGTTTGTTTGCTTGTTTACCACTTCACTTTTCAGCCACATTGCGGCAGTTGTTAAATAATCGAATCTGGACCAGACATTCCAGTGATGAACATCGATCTAAAGCAGAAAACAAATGGACAGGTTTTTGTTTTGTTTCACGCCGCCAAACTCTTGTGTGTTTAGTCTGTATATAACTGAACCAGTTTATCCAGTGATTTACTTTATAGGCATCGATGAACGCAGCTTGAAAAGGATAACGTGCATAAACCAAGTGAGGGAGTTTTGAGTTAGCCATTGTAACACTTTGTCGAACTGGAAGTCTGGAATCATTATCAGGCCGATCTGGAATTGGAACACGCAATCTACCTATCCTGGCACAGCTAGGTGGGGCAACTTTTAAAATCAAATGACGGCACCTTAAACGTCTTAGTTAAGACCTACAGAAGGTGGTGATGGTAAATCAAACTTAACATTGTGCTTATGGAAGACATAAATATAGTGACACTTATTAATACCTGATAAGATTAAAGAATTTAAGATTAGGAAGGTCACCTCGAGACGTTTCTTGGAGTAGTGAACAGGACAAGGCGACAAATCATCGCTGTAAATCCCGCTGAGCGTGACGTTGACGGTGACAAGACCACATGACATCAAGGGGAAACCACTCTGCTGGCAGACAGCAACAGCCACGCACCAAGCTTTCCGTTGACACATTGATGCACAGCGAAGTTTGGATGACAGCTTGTGAGTCTCCATGACCTTCCAGGCATAGAGAGGCTCAGAGCTGTCAGTTCTGCTGGTCATGGATATGGAGGGCAGGTTGGCGGACATCGGGGTCGTCAACAGGAGCGCCATTAACAGACGGTAAAGTAGTGACACCATGACTTGTTCTGCAGAGTGTAATTCGAAACTATTGATAGCTCCACTTGACTGTTTCTGTTGAAATGCCAGATGCCAGATGCCAGAAATCCAGAGTTATTAGCCTCGTGTATTTCAGACAAAAATTAAAGGTTTACCAAACTGCGTCCTAATTTTTCATCAAGGGAATCAGCAGCTATGGCAACTGGATTCACAGATGCCGAGATCACCCACTGCAACAAGTCTTATTCGAACACCCTCCGTTGCAGAAGTAAGTATGTTTGCACACAAGAGCCAACATGAACCAAAGTCCCATTCCTTCGAAACCTGGCACAAACTCACTTGTCCAAGAATCTGTCCCTGCCTAATCCGATAGCAAATATATGCATCCTTGTCTAGGGCAGCAGCTGGACGTTGCAGAGCCCTTATTGAGAATATGTAACTTCATCGACCTAAAAGTCAAAGTTATTTTAATCTACGCGAGCATGGTTAACGACACCGGGTTTGTATTATTTGTTGAGTGGCTAGTAAAAAGAAAAAAACATTAAACATCAAGCTTCCCTCGGCTGTCAATACGATTTGAGTTGGGCGTTGTTCAAGGAACGGCGCTATCAGAACGGCTTTATGTCATATCGATGTTTTCACAATTGGAATAGGGAGATGACTCCACTGACCAACATGTCTTTTTTCTGAGAAATAATGCCACGAGGAAGTGATTGAGAGCGCTGTGTGTACTCAACTTGAGGTGGAAGTGGTTGTGTGTTTATGCTTGGTGTAATATGGATTGGTACAGACATTATAGCTCATGTTACCTTAAGCGTTCCTCTCAGTTTCCGTTGTTCAACACAATCAGTACTTCACTCTCCGATTGACGCTGATAAAGACAGTACTCTTGTATGTATGTTATAACACATAAAGCGTTTCTGGACCGCGTTTGATTGTATGAATGAATGGATTTCAATCACTTCCAAGACTTCCTGTCAGCAGTGAAAATGGTAAAAAATCTCACCTTTTAACAGGATAGTAGGTTTCATACACCAGTGTTATCGCTTAACAAGGGTTGACGTGACCCGTGTTTATTAAAAAATATAACACGTTTTCTTTTGTAGTATTATTCGACCAGATCTTTTGTGATACATGAGTGAGTGAGTTTAGTTTTACGCCGCACTCAGCAATATTCCACTTATATGTAAATAATCGAATATGGACCAGACAATCCAGTGATCAGCATCATGAGCATCGCTCCACTCAATTGTGATACGACCCTGACCACCCGATCCCGATAGTCGCCCCTTACGACAAGCATGGGCTACTGAAGATCAATATTCTAACCCGGATCTTCACGGGTTTGTGATATATGAGATGTAGTGACATGTTCATTCCGCACATAACATTTACATCTCTTGTAAACTAACTGAATTCATACTCATGATTTTGCTTAATTTTGTATATTTAAAAAATGAAGCTGTAGATCACCTGTAAGTAGCCAACAAAGGTAGCGATTTGCCAATGGTTGTTTTAAGAATTATTATTAAAATATCAAATAATCTAAAACATAGTATATGATGTCATAACGACAAAGTCCAGCTCCTCAATTCATAATAGAAAACCATAGGCGGATCCAGGAATTTTCAAAGGTGTGTGTGTATGTTTATGTGTGTGTGTGCGTGCGTGCGTGTGCGTGCGTGCGTGCGTGCGTGCATGTTCAGGGGGTTTGAACCTGAGGCGACTACCGGGATCGGGTGGTCAGGCTTGCTGACTTGGTTGACACATGTCATCGGTTCCCAATTGCGCAGATCGATGCTCATGCTGTTGATCACTGGATTGTCTTGTCAAGACTGGATTATTTACAGACCGCCGCCATACAGCTGGAATATTGCTGAGTGCAGCGTAAAACTAAACTCACTCACTCACTAATTATTGCTCAAATCTGTTGGAAGATTTGGCGAGCAAATTTGTCTGAGAAAAGACCAGGTAGTTTTTCTCAATATGGCTGCTCTGACGGCCATTTTGAAAATAGAAACCTCTAAAACATTACAGTGGTTTCATCATTGATGGAGAAAGTTTGTGAGGTGGTCGGAGATGTTCACGAAGATCCGCGGACGACGAACATATGGGTCATACCATAAGCACACAGGTGAGTTGAAATGTACAGCTGGGGTGAGAGCTAGAGTCTAATGGTTAAAGTGTTCGCCTGTCACACCAAAAATGGTTCAGCGCGTACTCCTAAAAGATTGAGTGAGTGAGTTTAGTTTTACGCCGCTTTAAGCAATATTCCAGCAATATCACGGCGGGGGGACACCAGAAACTGGCTTCACACAATGTGCCCATGATGGGAATCGAACCCGGGTCTTCGGCGTGACGAGCCAACGCTTTAACCACTAGGCTACCCCACCACCCCACTCCTAAAAGAAGTATAGACTATTAATATCAAATCTATATTAAAATAAACAGAGATTATTAATGATGTCTTTGAATGCTCCTGTGTATTTCGCAAAATGCACATTGTTTTCAATTTAGAGGACCGATATCTACAATTGATCACGCTAAATTTGTCTTTTGAAATCGAGGTT